ATGTGCCACTGAACGCTTGACTCACAGAGAGATGCTGTGTGAGAGAAACTACCCACATATTTAGAAACCAGGGAATAAATCAAAATTAATTTCTGTGGGAACTGACAGCATGAGAACTTTATATTTAATGAGGAATATTATATATAAAACATTCCCAAAAAGATCTTCAGTGTTTTAAGACAAAAATTGTGATTTAATTTGTTCAAAATGTGATGTAAAATCTAGTGTATATTTTTATTTGCACCAGATGATTTCAATTCTCTAATTTGCATGCAAAAAATATATAATTATTGACTAGATTTGCCTTTAATGCAACACTTTCTCCTCCATTACATTATGCAATCATTTGCAAAGTGAAAACCATGAATTCATTACTAAATGTGTAATTAAATTCACATTTAATGTCATTACATATCAAATTAGTTATAGTATTTTTTTAAAAAAAAAGCAATATTACTTGCAAAGGCATTTAACAAGTTCACAACATTTTTCAAAAACATTAAAAAATAAAATAAAATCTCCAGAATATGAAAAAAAACAATAATTAACAAGTGCACAAAAACATACAAAAATCTCCAAAATATCTCAATATCTGTTAATATTGCCGAAAAATATCCAGTGATGTAAGACAAAATGCCAGACACTGTGATTTAATTTGTTTAAATTACAATGTAAAATCCTGTACATTTTTATCTGCATCGTTTGATCTGTTTCCATTTTCTGGTTTGCATGCAGGAACTAAAAACAAAATGTAATTATTGACTAGATTTTCATTTAATGTAATACTTTTTCCTCAATTTACCATTTGCAAAGTGGAAACCATAAGTTTATTAATAAATTTATTAAATATAAATGTTATCTCTTCAACAAAACACATGATTTGAGGAATCGAGGACGAGCTACATGCTTAATTTTGATAGTCAGTGTTAGTAAACCTAGCTATGAGGAACAGTAACAGTGAACAGCACTAATTAGGACTGATGATGTATTGATCAGCGCTGATATAAACATATGGATGTTTCTGAACATCTCATTGTAAAAGATAATCTCAGGGAAAGAGCAAAGACTGAAATGCCACAAGACAGTCGTGGCGTTACACACTCGATAACTGTGTGTGTGTGTGTGTGCGAGACCGATCGCTTTCACTGACCCCTGCAGTCCTGTACCCTGCTGAGGTCACTGCTGCCACGGTAACATTACACTGACCAGCAACCGTCACCGTGGCAACCGTTCCCAAGGGCCACTGCTTGCCTCCCATCAACGGCCCATAGAGTCAGAGACACACACACACACACACACACACACACACACACTATTCTATATACTGTAGGTGACACTGGCTCTGTTATAAACCCTAATGAGCTGTCTACTGCCTCCACAGTCAGCTGTCTTCTCAGAGCACATCTTAACTGAAATTGCTGATTTGTAATACATATTTCACAATCATGCTGCCAACCTTTAAGATGTTTTTAGTTGATTGTCTATTAGCTTTAAGATCATCTAAAGTAACGATCAAAAGTTTGGAATAATTGAAATATTAAATTTTTTATGTTTTAATGAAAGAAGTTTCTTCTGCTCACCAAGGCTGCATTTATTTGATTAAAAATACTGTAAAATTTGTTAAATATTATTATGATTTAAAATTGCTGTTTTCTATGTGAATATATTTTAAACTGTAATTTATTTCTGTGATGCGCAGCTGAATTTTCAGCATCATTACTCCAGTCTTCAGTGTCACATGATCTTCAGAAATCATTCTAATATGCTGATTTGCTGCTCGAGAAATATTTCTGATTAGTATCAATGTTAAAGACAGTTGTGCTGCCCAATATTTCTGTGGTAGCCGTCAAAAGAACAGCATTTATTTGAAATAGAAATCTTTTGACATTATAAATGTCTTTACTGTCACTTTTGATCAATTTATGTGCCCTTTATGAATAAAAGTATTAATTTCTTTCAAAGAAAATCTATTTATCATTCTATCTGTCCGTAAGGCCTATAAACCTTTAAACTTCAAGGATGTTTTTACCTTTTAATTTCAAATCTTTCAAAAACAACTTGACAAGATTTATCTTGACATTTTCTAGTTAAAAAAATAACACTGATTTGAATTGATTTTAATTCAACTTCTTTAAATTCAAATTCAAACCACAACTCCGCATCCTGGTTGCTTCCTCAATTTATATTTAACTCAAATTCTTGAATTTTAATTGGAATTTAAAAGGCATTCTGAATTTAATTCTGAATGGTGCACAATCTTATTCTCAACACTGGCAAAATGCATTTTTCTTTCAAGCTGATATACACATGTATAATGTATAGTATTTCTCTTATGGGAAGACAGACAGCCGATATTGATGCTGCATCCTGAACCAAACTGATTTCTGTCCAATCACACTGTAAAAAGTAATCACTGAATCTACTTAAGAAAAGCAAGTAAACTTAACTGATTTTTACAAATTTGTTGAATTTACTTAATTACACTGTGTTATGTGAACTTTCAGGTGGATGCAATAGTTAAACTAAACAACTTCTATTTATCATTCTATCTGTCCGTAAGGCCTATAAACCTTTAAACTTCAAGGATGTTTTTACCTTTTAATTTCAAATCTTTCAAAATCAACTTGACAAGATTTATCTTGACATTTTCTAGTTAAAAAAATAACACTGATTTGAATTGATTTTAATTCAACTTCTCCAACTCCGCATCCTGGTTGCTTCCTCAATTTATATTTAACTCAAATTCTTGAATTTTAATTGGAATTTAAAAGGCATTCTGAATTTAATTCTGAATGGTGCACAATCTTATTCTCAACACTGGCAAAATGCATTTTTCTTTCAAGCTGATATACACATGTATAATGTATAGTATTTCTCTTATGGGAAGACAGACAGCCGATATTGATGCTGCATCCTGAACCAAACTGATTTCTGTCCAATCACACTGTAAAAAGTAATCACTGAATCTACTTAAGAAAAGCAAGTAAACTTAACTGATTTTTACAAATTTGTTGAATTTACTTAATTACACTGTATTACACTGTAATTACACTGTAATTACACTGGAGTACAAAACATCACCAGAAGAAGACAACGAACTGAACTTCAGAGTCAGATCGTGTTTGAAATGTGGCCGCAGGATTAGGTAAGTTTTTGGTGATCTACTTATAAACTATATTGTCACAGTGTGTGCTATCGTTTTTGAGGAAAAGAAAAGGCAGATTTTATTAGTTTTTACTGACGAGCATTACTGTAACCGTTAGTTAGCGTACTAGCTAGCCAGTGGCTTACAAGCATAGATCTTCCTCTTTACTGCTAGTTATAACATGAAATGGCAATCAGTTTCCACAGGTTTTCCAAGTAAGTTCAACTCATTACTTTTTACAGTGCAGACGCTCTCTAGAATGAGAATGCCCCGCCCCTAAAACCAACCGCCAATCACTAGCAAGCAACAGAACTAGATTCAAACATCCCGTTTCAATTAGAAAAACATGAAGACAGGGGGAAAACTGTGCTCAACTCTTTTTTAAAAGGCATAAAGTAGAAAAACAAAGAGCAGAACGCACACCTGAGACTGAAGTGATGAGAACAAACCCGAAGCAGAATGCTTGAGGAACATCAATACACTACAAACACTCCAACAAGACCTGCGGGAGGATCGAACTCGGGTTTGGAGCAAACAATCGAAGCGAGTGTGAACACATTTTGTGTTTTCACACTCCTCGTCTGCTCTGATGAGCCGCGGGTCTGAGACAGCCGGGTTTATCAGGTCTGTGCTGGTAAACGAAACTAAACACAAAACATTTCCCATCGCTGAGATCCTGGAGAGAATCTCAAAGATTCAGGATTCAGTCCAGAATCTCCTCCACCGTTCCCACGAGCAGCGGGCTTGTGCTGCTTCATCCTTTAAAGATGCATCTGACTTCCTATGTGTGCACTTAGGGATGTACTGGGATGCTGGCACAGGAAGTTGTCACAGAAATAAATACAAGTTTTTGTTTACGTAATATATGTATGTGTACTATGTATATGTGTGTGTGTGTGTGTGTATATAAACATTTATTTATACATTTGTTTGTTTTATATTATAAAATGAATATTATAGATAAATAGTATAGAGAGAGAGAGATAAAAGATAATATATTGCTATAGTTAATTAATACAAGTTATATTTAAAGGTATGATGCGATTTCAAGTTTTCCTTTCTCTTTGGAGTGTTACAAGCTCTTGGTGCATAAAGAAGATCTGTAAAGTTGCAAAGACTAAAGTCTCAAATCCAAAGAAATATTCTTTATAAAAGTTAAGAGTCAGCCACTCCTACCTAAAACGGCTCATTCTAACACGCCCCCACATGTCTACGTCACTATGTGGGAAGATTTGCATAACGCCACCCAAATGTGGACGCAAAGAAAGGCATAAAGGTGACTTGACTTGTGTGTGTGAGTGTGTGTGTGTGAGAGGGGAACAGGGTCACATCACAGGAGAGTGCTGTCTTAACCGCGGCTTGTGTACTGCATCATCACTGTGTCTGTCACGCGACTCTGTTCCCCTTTCGGGCTTGAACTGATGGTAAAACTAACGACATTATTAACTTGATATTTACTTTGAAAGCTGAAGCTCGCAATTATGGTAAGGGGCGTTACATTTCCGACGTGTGCTTGTGGTGTTCGGCCAATCACAATGCACTGCAGACTGCGCTTGTCGGAAGGAGGGGCTTTGTAGAAAACGAAGCGTTTGAGAGAGGCGGGGCATAGAGGACCTACAATAATGTACAGTATTTGAAAAATAATGTGTTTTTTGAACATTAAAGCATGTCAACATATTCTGTTACACCAAATACCCTAAATAATGATCTTTAAAATAGCATCATATGACCCTTTTAATGATTTAATCCCTGCCACGGTTTTTGTTGATTTGTATTGATGCTTTATAATACATATGGTGTGTGAAATGTTTTCATTATTTGAACACTTGATGTGGCAGAAGCGTGTGACACTTACGAGAGCTGACCGCGTCCACATACTGCGGCAGATACGGCGCCCACATGTCAATAGTGTCCTTCCGGCCCGACTGACCGATCCGCCGCAGTTCAGCCAACAGCAGCGCCTGGGCCGCCTCTCGAACCTGCAGCACACACACACACACACACGCGTCAGGTTTACACACCGATACCGCAGAGCTCAGCACACCACAGGCCGCTGAGATGAAGCCGCAAATAAAGCTCACGCCTGAAAGCAGCCGGAGAAGCCATTGAGAGACGGAGCGTGTCTTTGTCCCGCGGGGTTAGCAGGTGCTCGAGCTGCCAGATACGAATGAAAGCCAATGCGAGAGACACAGAGAGCGACCCTCCGAGAAAAAGGATTAAGGATGCTTAACAGAGCGTCTCTTTCTTTTCTTTCTCTGTCTGTCTTTCTTCATTTCTCTCTCAGTGTGGCGTACGACACCTCTGCAGTCATGCACGACACACACACACACACACACACACACACACACACACACACACACACACACACA